TATATATATATATATATATATATATATATATATATATATATGTATACACATATATACACATACATTACTGTTGTCATCTTTAATGTTACAGTTTGATTTTTTTTTAATAAGTCTCTTCTGCTCACCAAGGCTGCATGTACTTGTTCAAAAATACAGTAAAAACTGTAATGTTGTGAAAAATTGTTACAATTTAAAATAGCTGTTTTCTATGTGAATATATTGTAAAATGTCTTCAGTGTCACATTATCCTTCAAAAATCATTCTAATATGCTGATTTGCTGCTCAACTCTATGAACTCTATGCGTATAAGGGTTTTAAATCAGAAGTGACAGCTGACCTGAGCCCAGCGGAAGATGCAGGCCGAGCAGTAGACGTGTCTGCAGCAGTCGGGTACGGCTCTATCCGTCCGTCTGGGTCGGTTCAGACAAATCGGGCACCGCTGAGCCTCCTCATCCTCCAAACTCTCATCAGAGTTCTGCCCGCCTGAAAAAAAAATCACAAAGTTGTATTAAAAACCTTTTACAGAATGATGCATTAAAATATAACATGCATCTCCCAACCAAAATAAGCAACTCAGTCCATGCCTAGTTCACTTTAGTGTATGTAAAGTTACAAAAGCAGCATGTCCAGATATGAATAAACCCCACTCACCCTTTCCTGGCCCCTCTTGCATTTTTGGCTCCGGGTCACGGCAGCTCTGAGCCCTTATTTACTGTACCAAGCACATTTAAAGAAGAAACATGTGTACTAAAGCACAACTCAGACACATTAAGATCATCATAATTACAGCGCAACTCAGTCACTGTCTTTATTTGCTCTGTTTATTTACTCTCTCAGAACAGCTGAAGTTTGAGTTGCTCGTAAGCAGCCTTGAGCGATAATAGAGGCCTTTACAGCGCTTTATACTCATTTAAGTTAGTCCTATATGAATAATCAGTGTGGGTAACACATATAGACACATATCGAGCTGTTTACATGCAATGTTTAGAAGTTCAGACTCTTGTTTATCAGTGTTACGCGGCTAGTTGTGTTAGCATCTGCTGTCATTAGCACACACTCACCTCCGCGCGCGTCCCTCCACGGGCTTCAGATCATATACTAGCACGCAGCACGCACCTCAGCGCAAAACACACACACTTTTTGTGCACTTTCATGAGCATTTGCGCTCGTAGTTGCGATAAATGTAGGCGTCCGGCCACATGTGGGTCAGAAGCTGCAGTTCCGCCTCTTCACCGCTGGGTGGCGCTGCAACGGGGCATGATGGGAGACCCACGCGTCATCACGTAGGGTTTAAGGTTCACAGAAGAAGAATTCGGTAGAGCGGCTGATGCTTCTTCCTGTGGATGAAAAATTAAAAATCGTCCACCAGAGGGTATAATAAATACTATAAATACTCTATTGCTCAGTACATTTAAAATGATACAACATGCAAATAAATACATAAATAAAATAAAAACGACGACGAATGAAAACACGATACATAAAAAAATACAAAAAAATAAAGAATCACTTTGTTAAATTCACATTATCTCTCATTTGTTATTTAGTAATATGAAATGTTAATATATTAATATAACATAAAATGAAGCTATTTTCCCACAACAGTGAGATGAAGCAGCGATCAAAATATTATTTCCATTAATAAATTCCTATACTTTTTTTCTGATATATTTTACTATGGAGTGTTACAGTCAAAATAAGTCCTTGCTTGAGTATTATTTCAGATCCCAGGATATTTTATATAGTATAGTAATATAGTATAATATCAATATTCATTAAATATTGATGCATGCTGTTCAAATGTAATACAAGTAATTAATAAAAATATATATGAATACATTTTCACTTTTTTAATTACACTTTTAGCTTTTATTATGTGTAACCACTGATAAAATCATTAACTAAAACAATGTGATTCATCCTGAAATATCTGACCTTGTGTGACCTTGTATGAAGCAAAGAAAATAAATGAATATGTAAAACAATGTTTGCTTGACCAGTCTCATGTCTAAACAATATGAAAGAATAGTTTTCTATCAAATAAAAGCAATGACACGTGGATGGGTTATCATGAAACTTTAATAGACATTAATTACATGATATACATAGTGTTTCATTGAAACAAGAGCGTATCATTTGCAGGAATGGCCTCTTGTACATGAGGAGCGCTTCACCCCTCTCGAGTTTGAGTACAGCATTTTAGTAGTAATGTAAAAGGTGTGTGTGTGTGTGTGTGTCGGGGCAGATCACAAGACGATAGGAACCTTGTGCTCAGTTTGACATTCACAGGCAGATCAAGAGGGGCCGATCAGGGGCCCCGACACACAGAGGGACATCTAAAGCTATTTTCATATTTCAAACATGTTGAGCAAAATTGAGAAAAAACAAGAATGACAGCATATATACACGTCATTTTGTGGTATATACACATATATACAATATATATACATAAATATAGTAAAATAGATTAAATTACACTGATGTTTTTCCATAAATAATGGCTGGAGAGTAACAGGTTGGATGATGACACATGAGGTTTAGCTGTTGGAAGTACAGTGAGGTGTGTGTGTGTGCGTGTGTGAGAGACGGTGGTCATGTGACCTCTCCATTCACAACACTCAAAACGGCTGACTAGTGGACGACACACTCCTCTGTCTGTCAGTTTGTCTATCTCTCGTTCAGGGAATAACTTCAAGCTGCCGATGGCAAACACTGAACGGTAAGTCAAGTTGAACACAGTCTCATTTCCCCTTGGCAACAACGATCTGCCATTCGATTCTGTGGTTTACAAAGCAAAACAAATGACAATCATACTGTGAAGCTTTAAAGTCGACATGAAACAGCAACCAGCAAATCGTTTACTTCATTTATGTGACATATTCCAGAGTGAAACAGGACTCTTTTTTTAATCATTATTAGCTATTATTGCATTTTTATTAATGTTTTAGAAAGGCTGAATAACCTACGATAGTCTAAAACCATGATTAAATAGTTATTTAACTATTGGTAAACATCGTCTTGATGTGATGTCAGTTGAATAGTTGTTTCAGATATTTTGCAATGGTTTTAAATGTTCATAATTAGACCAAGAATGTGTATAAAAAGAGTAGTTTTGATAAAGTTCAAAATTTCGATTTTTATAAACGTTTTCTGTTGGTTATGCGAACGTTAAGGGAACATTCAATTTACAATTTTTCAAACATTATGGGAAAGTTACTTTTGAATATTCTAAAAGTAACATTCTAAAACAAGTAGCAACATTTTAAAAAATGTTACCGTAACATGCAACTTTGAACGGATGTTCTATTAATGTTACTAGAAGAACCGTTGTTTAAAATTCTGAAAGAATGTTGCATTTTAGTGTTTAAAAAATGCTAGATAAATGTCCAACTAAAGCGTTTATGAACGATATATAAATAATGTTTTTACGCTAATATTTTGAGAGACCAGAGAACCTCAAACAAACATTCTATTAGCGTTACTGGAAGGTTCTTTTAACATTACTAGAATGAACATTCTGTTAAAGTTTGTTAATAACTTTGAGAAAAAATTGCCAGAACGTTCTCTAAACATTCCCTATGAGCTGCGTCTCATGTTGACTGTAAAGCAGCCATCGCTGTCGTCTGGGTTTAAATAAGTTACAGTAAATTAATTCAGCCGTTCCACCTGTCTGAAATCAACAACTACAAATCAATATTTGTTCATTAGTAGATCTACACGACAGGTAAAGGTGACTCAAGTAGTACAGTGTAAATGGCATCGTAACAAATGCGTTTAGAGCATAGCCAAAATGTGCGAAATTACAGTTTTTTCACATTTGTTGAAAAAGAGTAAGTGCTTTTTTACATACAAACACTGATATTTTTGGCAAAGGTACAAACGGATCGAACACACATCTGCAGGCGACGCTCCGCTCAGTGTCGATTGTGAAATCGTTTTGGTTGCGAGTACGAAATGCCTAACCTGAATACGGAGAATGATGCACGTGTTCCTGTGCGACGTACCACCGAAAACTCAGCTGTACCAGAAGAACAACACAAAAGAAAACCAAATCAACCAAAAAAAAAGAAGCACAACAATACGAGTGGATCACCATCTGTGTGGCCTAACAGCATACTGTACAAAGTTCAGGACATTCTCTCAGAATGGGATGTTTGTCTTTGCTCTGCACTGAAAATAGAGCAGCTTCTTCTAGTTCTCAGTTGCAGCGTAAGCGGCTCGGCTCCGCCCATCTGCCTGTCAATCAGGGTTAGGACACGCCCACTAGTGGCCATCAGTGTGCTCGCCTGAAGATCCTGCGTTGTGGATCCAGTCCGCGATGATCAAAGCCATGCTGCAGATCATCACCATGAATCCCACGATGAGGAACAAAGTCGCCTGAGAAGAAGGAGAGTGTGATGAGACATACTGAGTCGATCGCAGGTCAAGAACACATGTGTTTGGTCAGATCATGTCTTACCCCGATCTTCTGGATAGACTTCATGGACTCCTTCTTCACCAGTTTGATGTAGAAGGCCGAGGGAAGGATGAAGATCAGCATAGCAGCAGCGGATGCACCTGCAGAGAGACGAAAAAAACATTTTAAAAATGTTTTTATTTGAATTAAAATAAAAATTAACTGAAATAAATTTGTAAAAATATTATTTAAAAATTGAATTGAAAACTTAAAATATAAAAAAAATGTAAGCTGGTTTTATTTCAGCTTGTTGTCTAGGTAACATTTCTAATTTATTATTACTAAAATAACTAAAACTGAAATAATAATAAATAAAACTATAAAGACATTAATAAATTCAAATATATAAAATATTTAAAACCTATTAGAAAATCGACAAGGTCAAATTTAGGTAACATTTGTTTACTAAAAAGTATATAGACATATTTTTAAAAAGATAAAAACTAATAGAAATGACAAAAACACAACAAAATTACTAAAACTTTACTGAAATGAAAATAAAATCAGAAGATATAAAAATTCTAAATATTAATAAAAACTATAATAGTATATTAATGATGCTAATTATTACTGATGAATGTTTTAAAATAAAATTTTGAATATTGAAATATAAAATTACTACAAAATAAACTCTATGAAATTACAATATAAAACATGTTATTACAATAATACTGCCACACACACGTGATGACATCACTTCCTGTGTCACACCTACCGATGAATCCGAAAATGTCTCTGATGGTGGGAACGAAGATGACGAGGATGTTGACGCAGACAAGCAGAGCGACGGTGATGCAGATGTGACGTGGCCAGTTGAATTCTTTAGAGGCACCGAGCAGCTGGTTGACTGAGGTGCGGATCTGAAACATAAAAAAAAACGTTCGGTCAACACTGCTGCAAGCAACGTTTACGTATGTTTCCAGGCCTGTAAATGTGCTGGAATACTCACTGGGAAGAGAACCACGGGCACCGTCAGCGTCACGGCGGTCAGGACGGCAAAACGCACGATCAGAAGCACCACATCAAAGCTGTAGACCTTTGAGTAAGTGTGCAGGAGCTCGGGTTCAACGGCCTCTGCGGAATAAAAAAGTCTTTAGTTTAGACTTACTGTAGAATTGAAGTGTTATTTCAGACCATTGAGATAATATCCCAGCTAATAAAACATTCATCCAAGTTATCTGGTCTTTATAATGTTCTCAGAACATTAGCACAAAAACATTATCTATGCATTAATTACGGAGCGTTTTTTTCCTCATTCGTCTAACATTTTTTAAATGTTAAAGGTCGTTTTAGAATGTTCAGAGAACATTTAAAAGTAACATTCATATAATTGTTTTCAAAACGATCAAATTGAATGTTCCCTTAACTTTTGCATAATCAAGGATAAACATTTTTTAAAACGTAAATAAAAAAAATGACATTTTGAACGTTCAGAGAACATTGAGAAATAACGTTTTCATAACTTAATGTAAACTTTAGCAAAATGTTCTTAGAACATATTTTTGTTAGTTGGGATTATAGTTTTCATTCATATTTGAATTAGTTTTTATTTTTACATTTTTTGCTTTCATTTTAATTTAAAGACTTAGTTTTGTTATTGTACATTTTTTTTCAGAGTAGTAGTTTTAGTTATTTTGGTACTTCAATAACTAAAACAATAAAATAAAAAATAAATTAACCAAATGAAAATTTGAAATGTAGCCCTTTTTTTTCTAATATAAATTTTTTTTTCATTTAAATTTTTTTTTTCCAAGTAACAAACATGTTTTTTAAGGTTTAGTTTTAGTTGCCCTCCTCTGAGTGGTGAAAAACACATTTTATTGTCAACAAATTCGCTGTAACTTTGTCCTGCACGTCAAACAAACCATCCCACAAAAATGTTTATTTTCCCTTCGCCGAGTCTGAGAAATCCCTGCGTTGCATAACGTTTCCTGTCTATCAGGGAAACGTAAAAACATCAAACACAGTGTTCTATTCCTGCTATTTCAACCTGGCATTGGACTATAACATGTGTCGTAACGCGTTTGGAAGATGGTCAGGCTCTGATGTGGCCGTGCATCTGCGTTTTGCTCACCGTTGAAGGTCAGGTATCCAAACAGAGCAGCCAACAGATACATGACAAACATTCCCAGGAACGAAACATTTGCAACATTCTGCATCTTCCTTCTGGAACGACTGCAGATAGGAGGTTAGAGAAAGAGCAAGGTTGAACTCACAAAATGCAACTTCTAGCGATTAAGTATTTTATATTGAAGCATTAAAGTCGCACGCACTCTTTGAGCTCCTCGTACATGGGCAGAATAGCCGGGTGGCACACAAATGCGAAGGTCAGGATGGGCACTGCATACACAGTCTAAGATAAAACAAAAAAGTTAGATCACCACACACTTCTTTCACTCAAATGCAAATATCCGAATGCTAATATCCGTCTCGTACCTGTGAGTTGAAGATGAAGTACTTGGGTTTGCAGCACTCTTCATCAGTAGTGTTGACCTGCAGCTGAGAGACGTTCACTGTGATGTTAATGAAGTTCTCCGGTAACGGACAGGGGATCTGGAACTTCTTGTAGATCACCTGAAGAACAAAAGCAGAAGGGATCGTCTCATCAGACTAACAATAGCAGCTGGAATGACACTCTAGCTTTCATTTGCGTATTTATTTCTATGTTAAACCAGAGCAATTTAAGGCAAATATCTCAGTACTCACCACAATCAGGAAGAACACCATGCACAACAAGGAGAAACCACTAGTGTATCCCAGATAACCTGAAACAAAACACAAACCATGAGGATAAAAACACTTTGAAATATAAGTCACCCACTTATATTTTATATAGAATTTTTCTAAAATTGTATTATATTTATTTTTTTATATTATTTATAGACAATTCAACAAATTGTATAACAATAATAATAATAATAATAATAATAAAAATGTATTAATTATAATAATGGTAGTATTTATTATTTTATTCATGATTTTCACAAAAACTCCTACATTGTTTCTAATTTTATATATTTAGAATTTAACATTTTAATAGTAATAATAGTAATAAATAATTATAATAATATTTGCATTGAATATTTTATTAATAATTGTATGTTTTTTATTAGCATAAAAACTGCCACGTTTCACATTTCTGTTTTCTATAATTGTATTACATTAATTTGTATAATAATTGTATTGATTTATAATTTTATCATATTATAATAACAAAAATAATTATTAATTGTTAATTGTAATACTACTTTTATGTATAATTTTATTAATAATTTAATAATCTATTATTATCTGAAAACTGTTGCTTGAGCCTCATATATTACATAAATAATTTTTCTAAAACTGTATTCTATTTTTATATATTTTTTATTCTATTTTTATTTATTAGTCTAAAAAATGTTATAAAGAATATGAAGCATATATTACAGTATTTTTTGCTTGTACAGAGAATGGGCTCAATTTTCTGTGTGCAAAATATAGTTTTATTACTTATTTTGGGGTATACTTTTATTATTTTGCCCTTCATTTGGGAACACTTACCCAGGTTTTTAAGCAGCGAGAGCGGCAGTATGATGACCAAAGTGACAATCAGCACCAGATAATCTCCGTTAGTGTACCACGAGCTGGAAAAAACACCACAGACATCAGTTTTAGCATGCTGAGGAAATGACACGCAGCTGTTCTTCAACATCCTGTTTCACAAACACAAAACTCTAGAGCGCGTTTCAGTTATGTGGCTTTGTGTGCAGGGGCCTTTGGGCTCCATGTAGGGGCCTGAATCTTTGATGTAACAATGTTTGTTGCATTAAGTCACTGTCACAAAGCTCTCAATCGACGTCTTTGAACAGACGTTCAGACCCCCTCCGAACGGACAGCTGTACAATGAAGCGCTCACACTGTTCTACACAGAGCTGGAAAACATTCCAGTCCAACAACAACAGCATCGGCCTGTGCTGTTCAGTCCTCGCACAGCTCCGGACATCATCTAAGAGCCAGACGGACGCTCATGTGACGGCAGTCAATGAAATCTTACTTGTCGTTAGAGTCCAAGAAGGCCTTAATGACGATGGGCAGCTCGTACTTCACGATGTAGAGGTAGCTTGCCATAGCTGGGATTGAAAGAGAGTTTGAAAAAAACACTTTAGCGCCTTAAACCAAACCAAAACAAACAAACCAAAATATCACTTGTTATCTGCACATTTCCAGGTAACAAGTTTAGGTTATAACGGTGATTATAACGTTATTTAAGGGTGACAAAGCGTTTCTTACTATGCTCTATTAACTCGTTATTTAATGTTATTAAAATGTTATTTAAATGTGTCTTTTTAAAGTTCTAAAACGTTAGAACATCCAGTTTTCTTGTCGTAATTATAATGTTATTTAAAGGCTACAAAAACGTTTCTTGCATCATTCTACTAACTTTATTTTCACACAAAAAAATAAAATTTGAATGTTTATTTTTTAATATTCTAATAATATTATAATGTCCAGTTTTCCTGATGCAATTATAATGTAACATTCTACTAACTTTATTTTCTCACCCAACATGTAACGTTACTTGATTGCTTATTTTTAATATTCTAAAGCGTTAAAATGTCCAGTTTTCTGGATGCAATCATAATGTTATTTAAAGGTTACAAGTACGTTTCTTGCTTCATTTTTACCCAAAATATAACATTATTTCAATGTTTATTTTTAATATTCTAAAATGTCAAAACATTGAGTTTTCTTGTCATGATTATAACATTATTTAAAGTTTACAAAAACGTTTCTTGCAACATTCTACTAATTTTTTCACCCAAAATATATCATGATTTGAACATTTATGTTTAATGTTCTAAGAATATTAAAATGCACAGTTTTCTTGTTTTGATTATATTGTTATTTAAAGGTTACAAAAAAGTCTTAACTTCCAACTATCCAAAATGCATTATTTGATTCTTTATTTTTTATATTCTAAAACTTTAAAATGTCTAGTTATCTTGTTGTGATTAAAGGTTACAAATACATTTCTTAGAATGTTCATCAACTACAAATTTTTTTCTCAACATTACAAGAATGTATATTGAATATTAATGAAGTTACAAGAACGTTCCATAAACATTCCTTTAAGAACATTTTGTCCTCACATTTATAAAAAACAAAGGTTCCCTGTTAGCTGGGTTCACATTACTAGTCGTACCTCCAAAGTTTTGCATGGTGATAGAGCAGGACGCCGCCAGTTTGCCGGGAATCCCAAAGGCCTTGTACCCCAGCTGTTCGTACACCAGAGAACCTGGACGGAGGGGGCAGAGCATTAAAACTCATACTTATCACGGTTAAAAATAGAAACATAGAAAGAGAAGCTAACCTCCTTCGTTGGCCGTTTTGAGCAGCAAATGGACTGAGTAGAGAGAGAAAATGGCCACAGCGACCAGCAGGATCCTGCAGAAACAAACAATACACAGTCTGAATTATTAAAATCACTCTCAAACTCTCGCCTGGCTTGCAATGCTCTCTTTAACCATGTAAAAAAAGCATTTTCATATGAAAAAAGCAAAGCATTTTCATATGAAAAACTGCACTTTCATTAGAGATTACAATAGACAAACTGTGCACAGAAAGTCCAGGAATATGCATTAAGAAAAACAGAGAGCTCATATTGACTTACTGGACATAATTGACTGTCTGTAACGAGTCACGTTATGAACACGCACACAAACACACGTGTTCATGATAGAGGGAGGTGACTATGGATTAGACATGATTTTATTGTCACACACTCATTCATTCCACTGTCTGGAGCTCGCTTGATCCCGTTATAACCTGCCTGACCTTCAGTAGATTTCCACTTCACATGCCTGGAGCTGACGGTCACATCTTTGCTATTTAACTCATTCCTCAACTGCACAGTAAAGGCTTTGCTTAATGCACTGACTCAAAGCAATGCACTGACTCAAATTCTGGTTTAAAGTCATTAGGATTTTACTGTGCACACTGGAAATCCCATTTCAGTTGCGCAAGTCGTTCTTTGATGGATTCCTGGAGATTTGGCATTTAAAAACGCAGCACTGCTCCACCTGCAGCACCTTTACATAACCGGCAGAAACTCCTCTATCACCAGATTAACACATACGGCTTTGTTTGTAAACACTAAGAAGAAGCACGACTTGCATTTACTTCCTTCACCAGAGCCGAACCGACTGACTCAGGTCAGCTGCACCAGATTTACAGAATCTGGGGCAAATTGCTGTACTTATTAACAGCACTAATTATTCTAATCAGGTCATTTTGGGACGTTTGTGTACATTCTGTTCATAGATTACAAAAACTTTTAAAACTGGAAAAGTTGGGTGTTATCAGCTCATGCAAATGTGCATGTAAATGTTTAAAACTGATGTTTTTGGCCATACGGATATAAAGAAGCACGATACTCACACAAACATGGCGATGCCAGTGTTGGCCATGGCATAGGCAAGTCCCAGGATTCCACTTCCCATGATGGCATTGCCCAAGTTAAACACCGACATCCCAAACGACGCTGAACCAGGGCTCTGAAAGACAGGAACAGTGAGATTTATGTGTGTAAAATTCATGCAGTATCTGATGAAACCTCTCAGACCAGATCAACCACTTACATATTCAGCTTCATATTTCTTCTTGCCCAGTTGATGATCAGAGAGGAAGTTCTGGCTTTCCGCGTCCACGTCGGTATATTGCATTCTGTAACCACATCATCAGTGCATTAGATCAACATAAGAGAAGATTTATTAACTAATAGTGACTCGTCTAGGTCAAGTGAAGCAGTTTTTACCCATTGAGGGGGACTTTGGTGGAGCGGTCCTGATAACTCATGTACTCGTTGCTGTTGGAACTGCAGCTGTCTATGTCTGGAGCGATGTTAAAACGACTCATCTTTGTATTTGCAGGGGCTTTGCTCATTCTGTAATGCAAAACAAGTTTATTAGTTTAATATCACCTAAACGAAGAGTTGCAAGCATTTCACCTCAAATTAGCTCAATTTTATCATTACTGAATCATTTAAAAACACATTTTCATTGTAGTCTAATTATAATTTGGTTGTTCTTTTTTTAAAAACCAGAAATAACCGAACTGGTTATTTGACAGCCGATAGTGTGTCCCCAGAAGTCTTTGAAGGACCGTCAAATGTGCGCCCCATCGTTTAAAAAAAACCCATGTTCACACATTGCTCAGCGGAGCCGCACCTCAGCTCCACAAACAGGCATTGGTTCATGTGACCCAAAATATGATGTTATTGAATGTTAATATTTTAATATCCGAGAAGCACTTTGCACTTTATGTCTATTAGTTAAATATTGCCTAAACAAAGATTTGCAAGCATTTAACTCAAATTAATTATTATTAAATATTCTAAATGTTAAAATGTCCAGTTTTCTTGATGCCATTATAACATTGGTATATTGCATTCTGTAAACACATCAGTGCATTAGATCTAGATATCTAGATATAAGGGATGATTTAGTCACTACTAGTGACTCGTCTAGATCAAATGAAGCCAGTTTTACCCATTGAGGGAGACTTTGGTGAGATAGTCCAGAGACCTTACATTCTCCATGTCAAAACGACTCATCTTTTTATTTGCAGGGGCTTTGTTTATTCTGTACTGCAAAACAATGGCATATTCTCCTCATCATGCAAGGATTTAGGTTTTGCTCAACCATTGTGGTGAAAAATTGGGGGGACATACACACCCACGAGGCTTTAATTTGGTGTTTTGTGAAAGAAATCCTCAGGTAATTGGTTTGACTGATAGGCTACTGTTTACCAACATTCACTCTTTTCTATGTAGCTGATAAATTGGTTAGTCTCTAAAGACCAACAACAGCATTGCAGAAAAATCTTTACATAAGAGGAAACAATGGCGTTCATAAGTAAATATTTGAATATTTACTGTAAGTCGCGTTGGATAAAAGCGTCTGCAAAATGACTAAATGTAAATGTACTGCAAGTTTCTCAAGCGAGAAACACTTTGCATGTTACTATTATTAGCTAAATATAGCCTATATAAACAAAGACTTGCACGCATTTTACCTCAAATAGGCCTATGCTATGCAAACATTTGTTTGTTGTTTCATAAAGCAGAAATTGTAAAGCAATCTCCATAATGATTATTTGACAGTCGGTCGCGAGTCTCCAGAAATCTTTGAAGGATCGTTAATGCGGGCCCCTGCGGTTTAGCAGACGCCTCTGCTCTGCAACCGGGGAATCGGGATCAGGTCACGTGACCCACCGAGAGCTGAGTGGAAAATTACAAAGTAACGTTTCAAACCGGCACCGACAACAGCTCAGCACGCGCTGCGTCCGCCGCATCGTCATCAAGTATTAATACCGACGTCTCATCAGTCTATATTTATATATTCGGAACATAACCAATTAAGGTATTTATTCTTGTTGGGTGACTCGTTTAACGTATTTAATCAGATTCTGATGACCATTTTAGACCGTGACAAGGAAACTCACGTAAACTCCCAAACCACGGCACGTGAATAATTGTATAACATCAAATAATAATGATAATATTGATAGAATGAAGGGAAAATGCAGACGCCCCTGCATTTATCAACAACCACAACAACACCAATAAAACCCTTTAAATCACCTCATTTAATATATCCAGCCTTTGACAGCGTTTTCTAAAATATCTATATTTAAGATAATTAGAGATAGGCAAGTATGAGTGTGTTTGATTAACTAATGCATCCTTTTGAACGGATGTGTGGAAATAAGATGATGAAACACGAATGAGTCACGCCGAGAAACGGCAGAAGACAAACCGACCCAAAAACGAAAAAATAAAAATAAACAATAAACAATAAACGCCAAGAACAGTGCGACCAGGTTAAAACCAGGTCAGGGAATCATAACTGTTCTGAAACATTAAATAACGACAAAACGGGATGAGATCTTACCTCAAGAATAAAAAAAGACAAATCCGTTTCTGAATGGAAAAAAAATGACCAAACCCTCCCAGTCGTGAAGAATGTTCCAAGTGATCAATTACAAAACCGATAACTTCACGATTGATCCTTCAAAAATGTACCGTGGTAGACAATAAATAAATATCCTAAGATTATTAAAGTATGTTAAACATAAATAGAAACACTGTAATACTTATAAACCCTACAATCTGTAACATTAATAGCAATGTTAAAGATGAACGGAGATGTCCTCTGGACGCGTCCGGTATCACAGTCGTGTTCTGATGCTGCTGAGATCGGTTTATATTCGCCGGTCGCATTGCATCAGCCGGAGGACAATTGGGTGGAGCCTCTGATGTGACTGTATACAAACAGACCTGCCCTGACCCAGACGAGAGACTCTCCCAGCCTCATGAAGGCGTTCGCCACCTTCTGCCTGCTCACAAGAAATAAAATGAACAGATCAAACCTTTAATATCACAGCTGTGCCTCCTAGACTGAGAGCAAATGGAGACTTTTTCCTGAGCTACTCTGGACGCGTCCGGTAACACAGTCGTGTTCTGATGCTGCTCAGATCGGTTTATATTCGCCGGTCGCATTGCATCAGCCGGAGGACAATTGGGTGGAGCCTCTGATGTGACTGTATACAAACAGACCTGCCCTGACCCAGACGAGAGACTCTCCCAGCCTCATGAAGGCGTTCGCCACCTTCTGCCTGCTCACAAGAAATAAAATGAACAGATCAAACCTTTAATATCACAGCTGTGCCTCCTAGACTGAGAGCAAATGGAGACTTTTTCCTGAGCTACCAGAGTCATCTCTAATGTCTCGTGTAGAGTTTCAAGTTCTCAAAAATAAAGGTTCCAAAGAACATTTCAGCGATCAGTTCTTAAAAGAACGTTTTAATAATCTTAAGAACCTTTTTTTTTGCATCAGTGGTTCCATGAAAAACATCTTTTCCATGCCACAAAAGTTTCTTCTCCGTTCACTGAAAGGTTCTTTGAGAAACAAAAATGGTTCTTCTATATATGCATCACTGTGAAAATTTCTCCAGAGATTCCAATAAAGATTATTTTTTTAAAGAGTTCAGCATCTCAAACTGCTTAAAAAGTCAATATAAACTCTAATTAAATTAAACTCTAAATGATCTGAGCTTATGGGCACGTTAATTTTATTTCTCTGTTTGCTGGCCGTTTGTCTACAATTGACTTGGATTTTAGGAGAAACAAGTTTGAAAGAACTAAGATCAGCATCTAAACAATAACATATTCCTCTGTGGTAAAATAATATCTAGGGCTCGTGTCAAACAATTTGACTTCAGAGGAACCACAGATATAGACCACAACCCACCCTGTGCCCTATTTTAAGCGAGGAAATGTTATAGAGGTTGCCTTATATTGCTCAGGAGAGGTAACAAAGTTCTCAGATATGAATTAGCAATCACCTTTGTCTCAGAAGTTCCTCCTAAATGAGTCGATTTTGAGATTACTTGCAGCAAAACACTTTATTTGTGTCTACTGAGATGTCAAAGACAATGACTTTTCCATGACAGTGAATAAGATCATGGGACCACATGACTATGAGAGGAGCCGTGAGGAACAAAAGGAGGAATTTTAGAAAAAGAGGAACTTCTGAGATGACGTTAGACACAAGTGACAGATTAAACGAGTTGGGAACGAGAGCTGCCCCACGGCTTTGGGTCACAAGGGCAGCGAGTCGAGTTTGTTGTATCTTTCGCTCCCAGCATAACTTAAACGAATCACTCGCCTGACCACCTTCGCACAGAAGTTCTTCATCACCCCCCGATCGGCCAAATCCCCCAGTGGAAGTGGGACTCCGGTCTACGGTGATTTACCCTCGGATTAAAGGCCACTGCAGCTTCTGAGCTGGAGTTCACAAAAGAACACGGATGCTGGAATGTCTGACCTATTGAAACAGGCCATGGGGCCCCAGGCGACGCCCCGACTCCATAGGTAAGACTGGATCAACAAAAGCATTTTTCTGTTTCCACACTGTGTGAAAAACATGCGGAAGAAATCCCAGCTCTGCCTTTGAAACTAGTAGCATCCATGGAGAAATGACACTCTTTACATAGTAAAAAATAGGGCAAACCATCAGATGCATTATCTGAAGATACAGATTTTCAGTTCGTTCATTCAAATAACACCTATGCATTGTGAATCCATTGGAATTGTCTTCTGAGAGAATGGTTTCTAAAATCTAGCTTCATAATGTTCTTCTGTGCCATATTTTATAAATAAATGCGTTCACCTACCAATTCAATGGAAATATCTTGATTTCTGAAAGAACTGTTTCTGAAAATGTGCTTTAAAAATGTTCTTCAGTGCCATATTTTATTGAACAAATGCTTTCACATGCCAATCCATTGGAAATATCTTGATTTCTGAAGAAGTTGTTTCTTAAATATGGTCTCAAAATGTTCTTCAGTGCCATACACTCTTAAAAATAAAGGTGCTTCACGATGCCATAGAAGAATATTTTTGTCTAAATGGTTCCATAAAGAACCTTTAACATCTGAAGAACCTTTCCGTTTCAAAAAAGCTTCTTTGTGGCGAAAGAAGGTTCTCCAGATTATAAAAAGGTAAGAAAGATATGGTTCTTTAAAGAACCTTTGACTGAATGCTTCTTTGTGGAAGTAAAAATGGTTCTTCTATGGCATCACTGTGAAGAACCTTTTGAAGCACCTTTGTTTTTAAGAGTGCATTTATTGAACAGCTGCTTTCACGTACCAATTCATTGGAATTGTCTTGCTTTCTGAGAGAATGGTTTCTAAAATCTAGTTTCGTAATGTTCTTCTGTGCCATATTTTAGTGAATAAATGCGTTCACCTACCAATTCAATGGACATATCTTGATTTCTGAAAGAATTGTTTCTGAAAATGTGCTTTAAAAATGTTCTTCAGTGCCATATTTTATTGAACAAATGCTTTCACCTGCCAATCCATTGGAAATACATTGATTTCTGAAGGAATGGTTTCTGAAAATGTGCTCTCAAAATGTTCTTCTGTGCCATATTTTAGTGAATAAATGCTTTCACCTGCCAATCCATTGGAAATATCTTGATTTCTGAAGGAAATGTTTTTTAAATATGGTCTCAGAGTGTTCATATCTTTATTGAAAAAATGCTTTTACCTTCCAAGATCATTAATAATGCAGAACATTATTCTTCTTCCTTGGCAAACAAAAGAAGATATTTTAAAAGATATTTTGAAAAAATAAGTGTCTATGACTTGAATTTTAAGTTTTAGGGGGAAATACCACTGTCAGAGAAATTTAATGTTACCAAAATGTTCTTTTGCATCTAATCTGTCCAAAGAATATTTTTCCAGTAGAGTTTCAGAACATCCTGGAAAGTCTCCTGCAATCTTGAGATGGGCAACAATGTTTTGTTTCTGGAAATCAGTGCTTTTTTTCTGTGATAGCCTCCCATGAACACGGTTTTGTCAGTGTTTTTCTTACGTTAGACTGGCGTCATCATGTGTCTGGATATCTTAATCAGGGCAGATCTTTCGCGCTCATCCTATGGTTCTGTCACTTGTTTGAGGTTTTTACAGTTTACCCTCACACCGATCTTTGTAGGGTGTCTTGTCCCAGAGAGAGGTGTAGTGGTGCTGAATTTCTTCCTTTGGTAAACTATCTGCCTGAAAGTGAACTAAAGGAGGCCCAAGAATATAGAACCCTTCCAGCCTTCTGAACTGGTTCACCTCTTCTTCTGAGTACTTGGATCACAGTGAATTTTGCTGAAAAAAGCAGGTAACCCAAATGTTTAGTGTGTGAAAGGGCAAACTAAACCCATGGATTTTTCTGAGCTGCAGCTGTTCTTGACAGTAAATTAAACGTTGTTCTGTAAATACTCGAGGAAGGTTCTGTTTACTCATTCGTTTACGCAGGTTCTTGGTTGATTTCTTTAATTAGACTGGCCCGAATGAACCTTTTTACAATCCTTTCAAATCATCAAGTTAAATAAATAAAAAAGTTTAAAAAAAGTTTATTTCATCCTGTAAACGCTACAATCTTGAAAATAAAGGTTCGTTATGGGCACTGATGGTTCCAAAAATTATTTTTAACATCCATGAAATCTTTTCATTCCACAAAAGTTTCTTTATAACGGAAAACGGTTCTTTAGATTTTTAAAATGTTCTATACAGTAAGAAAAATGTTTCTTTTGAGATCTGTTCACTGAAAGTGGAACAAAAAAAAACAAACATTTTTTTGCCCAAAACTCCATTTTGGAACCTTTATTTTTAAGATTGTATGTAAACTGACATTTTTTAACTCTTATTTTTAGTTCTTTTGCTGTTTAGGAATAATAGCAACTACTTCACTTCACCACGACTGGGTGGACCAGACTTTGGTACACCAAATAGGTATCACTGACATGTAAATGTCAGTGGTCAGATGTAAATTTTGTAACAAGATGTTCTTGCAGCTTAGTTACAATACAATAGGCTTTTAAGACTTAAAGCTACAGTATATTTTAATAGTTATATATACAGGTGCATCTCAATAAATTAGAATGTCGTGGAAAAGTTCATTTATTTCAGTAATTCAACTCAAATTGTGAAACTCATGTATTAAATAAATTCAATGCACACAGACTGAAGTAGTTTAAGTCTTTGGTTCTTTTAATTGTGATGATTTTGCCACGACATTCTAATTTATTGAGATGCACCTGTATATATCTCAGGAGTTCTAAAAATCTAAAATCAAGTCACTGTAAACAATAATGTTGTTTCAACTTAAAAAATAAACATTCATACTGCCTTAAAATTGATTAAAAATCAAAATTAAGTTGAAATGTGAAGGTGTGACCATTTGGAAAATCCAGGAAAGTTATTGTACACTATAAAAAAAGTGGTAACCTGCAATTGTTACCTTAAAAAACTGTTGATTTAACCCATAAAAATTAGTTTTGTTATATACATTAATATAATAACATTTTATTTAGAGTTACCGTTTGTAGTTTTTTTTTTTTTCAGTATAACAGTGTAATCATATGCAGGCACGTGCACAGGTAGGGCTCAGCCTGTGCAGAGCACATGCCCTTTTTGCCCTTACACTCCGAAGTGCCCTTTTTTTGGTGATGGTGTTTTTTTTTCTCTTTACGCAAGAAACACTATGTGTGTAAAGGCTCATAATTTATGTATTTGAAACTGAGCGACGTGCCCATATAGCTACAACAAACACCTGGTGATGAAAATGTAACGCCGCCGTTTTAATGACGGACAAAATGCACATTTGCACACATTCGCTGG